GGGTTTTTATTGACACCACGCTGCACCAAAATGGAAGATTCCATCTCCCCTGCGGGCTTTCAGGAACAGCCTAACCTCCTGGGCCTACCCGTTCTTATTTACTTGCCTTGCGTGTGCAACCTAAGTAGTTCTGATAAACTAACCAGTTTGTGGCATATTCGTTATGGGCTAGATTAATTTTTTTTCTATGCCCTTTATGTATAAACAAATGAGGATTTTCAGGCATATACTATTTAATATATGTTCTGGAAGCATCTCAGTAGGGTGTGTGTATGGGTGTACGTAAGTATTCAGGTCATCTCTCGGAGGAATTGCTCTGTTATTTTGTGGATTGTTAGCTGCACTGCTCCATGAGTAAGAAAAATATTTAAAACCTCCTGGTGGAAATAAATTTATGTTAATATTTACTATTTGGGGAGGACAGTAAAAATTGACCTCTAATTTGTTGTTAAATCCTCATGTGGTTAAAAGAAATTTCAGTTAAGAGGTGCCCAGGTCTCACTCATAGGTTGCTGGAGAATGAATTCCTGCAACCCTTTCAAAAAGTAATCTGGCAATATTTAGGGAAATTAAAAAAAAACAAAGATATCACTTCACTCAATACTCGAACCTAGTCTGACTTTTAAAAACCCATTTTGTGGGGCCTCCCTGGTGGCGCAGGGGGTCAAGACACAACCTATGAGGCTGTCTGCAGCCACTGCAGCACGACTTCGATCCCCAGTCGGCCAGGGAGCAACCCACATGGCGCGGCAGACCTCTCCTGTCTCGCCCACTGCTCCCCTCAGTAGTGTATATTAGGTCATTCCACCCGTTCTGTTCCCCACTGTCTCTGGTTAATCCTTTCACCCCCACACCTCTGGCCTGTACCCCAGTTCTTGTATGCATAAATAAATAAATCTTAAAAAAAAAACCATTTTGCAAAAACAGAAGTACCAGTATATAAAGATGCATGAACAACAATGTTTTGCAGCTCTGTTTTTGTGACAACTGGAAACAACCTGTATTTCCATAAAAAGGAGAATATTTGAATAAATTATGGAACATTCTTATTATGAAATATTTTGTAGCGGTGGTAACAGTTTACCTCCTTACTCTCTTGATCTAGAGAATGCTATAATGGATTGTTATGTGAGAAAAATAAGTTGCAGAATACCCTGGTATGGGCCTATGTTTTTAGTGGTGATGGTTGTGGGGGAGGGGTTGTGAAAGAATGTTAGATTAACTTCTTTTTGAGGCTTTTGGTATGTTATGAATATTAGGACACACACGCAGATATTTACAGAAACACATAAAAAGAATAATACAAGAAAACTTCTCACCAGCCAAGAAATTTTTTAAAAAATTAACAGACCAGAAGGAAAAAGAAAAATATCGGATGGTTTCACTTGTAACAGGAATGATAGGGGAACCAAATAAGACATCAGTGTAAAAAAAAAAAAAAAAGTACAAAACACAACAAAGGAAAAACAGAGAATTACAAATCAGAGACATATTGCAGGGGAGGAGGAGGGAGAGGGATCAGGGGGAGGGAGGCAGGAGAACAGGAGACTGTGGTGATGGTGGAGGTGTGCCTTGGGGAACGGAAGGAAATTCTATGGGAACTCAACCTGAGGGGGTTGGGGGAAGAAAAAAAAAATTTTTTAAAGATTTATTTATGCATACAAGAGCTGGGGTACAGGCCAGAGGTGTGGGGGGTGAGAGGACTCACCAGAGACAGAGTGGGGAACAGAACAGGCAGACGGACTGAAATACACTGCTGAGGGGAGCAGCGGGCAAGACAGGAGAGGTCTGCTGCGCCATGTGGGTAGCTCCCTGGTCAGCCAGGGATGGAACTCATGCTTCAGAGGCTGCAGATTGCTTCATAGTGCGGTGCTTAACCCCTTGCGGCACCAGGGAGGCCCAAGAAAATGTTTTTTTTTAAAATAAAAAATTAAAAAAACAAATATTAAAGAAGAAATTAAAATAAATAAATAAAATTAACAGAAAAATACTCCATTACTATTATAGTTGAACTTCTCTGTGCCCATCTCTGATTGCATCGCTCTCTTCCCTCATCCGCAGAGGTAGCTATTATTTATTTTTTTAAAGATTTATTTATTTATTTATACAAGCACTGGGTACAGTCAGAAGTGCGGGAGGGTGAGAGAATTCACCAGAGCCAGAGTGGGGAGCAGAACAGGCAGACTGATGAAGAAGTACACTGCTGAGGGGAGCAGCGGGCGCGGCAGGAGAGGTCTGAGGGCCATCTGGGACCCTCCCCTGCGGCTGGGGATTGAACCGGTGTTGCAGAGGCTGTGGGCGGCCTCACAACCCAGCGCTCAACCGCTGTGCCACCGGGGAGACCTGGTAACTATTATTTTTAACAATGATTATTTTTTCCTTGCATTTCTGAACTTTTTGACATATGAACTTCTAACATGGGTTTTTTGTTTACAAATTTAAAGAAATTTTTTTAAAAAATCAATAAAAAAGATGAGTTTTTATTCATCTGGAATCAGTAATTTCTTTTTTTTTTTCAAATTGTCAAATACTTTATTTTTTTATTTTTATTTTTTAAAAGATTTATTTATTTATTTATATAAGCACTGGGTACAGTCGGGAGGGTGAGAGAATTCACCAGAGCCAGAGCTGGGAGCAGAACAGGCAGAAGGACCGAAGTACACTGCTGAGGGGAGCAGCGGGCATGGCAGGAGAGGTCTGTGCGCCATGTGGGACCCTCCTCCAGTGGCCGGGGAGCAGCCGGGGATCGAACTGGCACTGCAGAGGCTGCGGGCAGCTTCGCAACCCAGCGCTCAACCGCTGCGCCACTGGGGAGGCCCTGGAATCAGTAATTTCTAAATTGAGGGCAGAATCTAATTGACAACAAACAAACAAACCAGAAATAAGTGTTGGCAAAGGACCTGGAGAAATTGGAACTCTCATACATTATTGCTGGGTTACAAAATGATACAGCCATTTATCTGTGAGAAATTGGTGATTTCACCATAAGTTAAACAGAATTTCCTAACAAACACTTCTTTTTTACTGTTTTTGGTTTTTTAAAAAAACTGCAATCATTTTAGTGTGTTTGAAGTGGTCTTTTGTTTGGTTTTGATTTGCACTTCCCTAATGACTTACGATTTGGAGTACATTTCCAGTGTTTGTCAGCCATTTATATATTTTTTTGTAGAAGTGTCTCTTTAAGTCTTTTGCCCATTTTTTAATTTGGGTGTTTTGTTGTTAAGTTGTAAGAATTCTTTATACATTCTGGATAGTTGACTGTTATATATGTGATTTGCAATCCCTTGCCCCCCTTTCTGTAGGGTTTTTTAAAAATAATTTCTTGATAATGTCCTTTGGTGTACATATTTTTTAAATTTGAAGTCCAATTTTTCCTTTTGTGTGAAATCTGAGAATTCTTTGCCAAATCCAAGTTCATGAAGATTTACCCTTATGTATTTTTCTAAGCTTTTTATGGTTTTAACCCTTATGTTCATGTAATCGATCCATTTTCAGTTATTTTATGTATATGATGTGAAGTCCAATTTCATTCTTTTTTTTTTTTGTGGGACCCTCGCTGGCGGCCGGGTAACGAACTGGCGCTGCAGAGGCTGCGGGTAGCCTCGCAGCCCAGCACTCAACCGCTGTGCCACCAGGGGAGGCCCCCAACTTCATTTTTTTACATGTACATAGCCAGTTTTCCAAGCACCATTTATTGAAGAGAGTATTCATTCATTCCCCATTGAATGATCTTGGCACCCTTATCTAAATTCCTTGCCCTTAGGTGTATGGGTTTATTTCTGGTCTTTCAATCTATTCCATTTGTCCCTATCTTTATGCCAGTACCACACCATTTTGATTACTGTAGACAGTGGTAAGTACCACACCATTTTGATTACTGTAGACAGTGGTAAGTTTTAAAATTGCATAGTATCAGTCCTCCAACTCTGTTTTTTTCTTTTTCAATATTATTTTGGCTATTCAGAGCTTCTTGCAATTCATGTGAATTTTTCCATCTCGTTTGCAGTTATAAGGAAAAATATAAGGAATTGTAAACCAAAAATACAATAATAGTGGTTTTTTTTTAAGATTTATGTATGTATGTATGCAAGTTCTGGGGTACAGGCCAGAGATGCGGGGGGGCGGGGCATGAGAGGATCTGTCAGAGACAGAGTGGGGAGCAGAGCAGGTAAATTAACTGAAATACACTGCTGAAGGGAGCAGCCGGCAAGACAGGAGAGGTCTGCCGCGCCATGTGGGTTTCTCCCTGGCTGGTCGGGAAACAACCAGAGGCTGCGGATTGCTTCTTAGTGGTGCATAATCCCTTGTACCACCAGGGAGGCCCAATAATAGTGGTTTTTATAGTTACCCCTGTAGTTACCCTTACCCATATTCTTTATTTTCTCATATACTTTTTTTGGGCAAATAACTTCTATTTAATGGAACAAAACATAATGGCAAAAGAAAAAAAAAGAGAGAAGATTTTTCTTTCTCTCTTTTTTTTAAAGATTTATTTATTTATTTATCTATTTATTTATACAAGCACTGGGTACAGTCAGAAGCGCGGGAGGGTGAGAGACTCCACCAGAGCCAGAGCGGGGAGCAGAACAGGCAGACTGATGGGGATGGGAGTAGCGGGCGCCGCGGGAGAGGTCTGCGCGCCAGAGAAGATTTTTCTTTTTTCTTTTTTTTTTTTTTTTTCCACTGGTCATACCACTTTTATTTACATTGCATCTATGTTACATTGTTTATTCAATATAGAAAAAAATATGAATACACTCATAGCATTCCTTTTAATTTGGTAATTCCACATTGTCAAATATTGACTGTTTTTATATTGGGCTTCCGACCCAATTTAAAAAAAAAGCAAATGGCCTGGCAAACAATTGTGTCATGTTGCTATTACAGTAATACATCTCTCTTGCCTTTTTTAAAACATAACAAGCTAATTTTGAAAAGGTTTCTGATTAAACTACTGCTTATTGGCTCAAGGAAAGATTTTAAAAGAGAAACTCATTCTTCCCAAGAAAAATCTTAAGGTCAACAGCTTAAACACCTCTCTGATCCAAGAGAAAATTTATATTCCTTACAAAGGGGTCAGTGCTAGAAGAAAATTGAGTGGTAGACCCCACTGCACAATGGTTCTGCATATCCCTCCCCCCCTCCAAAAAAAACCCCAAAAAACAAAACACCCAAACAATAAAAGGAACATAATTATGCTGGAGAAAAGAGAAATCCACACTTAGACATGAGGTTTCTTTTCAAAATCCATGTTGCAAATAGAATCAATGATTATTTCTTTAGGACATAATACTTTCATTAAATGTGTCAAACTCACAAATCAATGCTACAAAATACAGTTTTTTCCATCACTTTTAGTTATAATGTACACTATGTACATAGAGTTACCTATCTTATACTAAATACAAATGAACAAGTAGCTTGTTAAAAACCAGATTCAGGACTTATAAATAGTGCAGAAAATGCAAACGCCAAAAATATGATGCCTCCTATGATTGTCACTGTTCTGACAGAGATTTTTTGTGCTATCATTCTTCCTCCAATTACTGCCAGTCCTGTGCACAAGCAGTGTCCCACTGTTCCGCCCACAGCTACACCATAGGGATCCTCTCTGGCTGCCAAAACAATTGTAGTTAGATGGGAGCGATCACCCCACTCTGCTAAGAATGTCAGTGTCAGAGCTTGAACAAAGATGGGCGAAATAAAATGCAGCCACTTTTTCTGAGGTATCATTGTGCTTGTACCTGTCTTGACATCACCTGGTCCATTTAAGAGTTTGGTTCGTTGAAATTCTTCATCTTTTTTCTTTAATTCTGCTTGAACTTCTTCCAGTTCCTCTTGACCCTCATCTGGACTCATCTTTAAGCCTTCCCGAAGCATTCTAATGCCAAAAATGGCAAATAAAGCAGTTGAGACATAGTATGTATACACCCTGGGGATGACTGTGGTGGCATAACCAAACAAAACGGATAAGCACGTCATCAAGCCCAAGGCCAGCATAGCACCAGCCAATACTGTCAATCGGTTATAGCGCATCGCCATGATGGCGGCTATGAAAAATGTCTTATCACCCAGTTCAGACACAATGATAACTGATATGGCAGCGACAAATGCATGGATAAAGCCCAAATTAGTTTGTGTAGCTGGATCTTCTTTATTGGCATGAACTGGAGCAACTGGTGTAAATCCTTTCTCGGCCCGGGCGGCTTCGGGGCCCTGCCCCGCGGCGGGCTGCGGCTGCAGCTGCTGGGCAGGCGCCGGCGGCTCCTTGTTCCGGTGGCTCAGGTCCTCCTCGGGCACGGCCCGCAGCAGCGGGGCCAGCAGGAGCAGCAGCAGCCGGAGCGCAGATGCGCGCCAGAGAAGATTTTTCTAATGGAGGATTAAATGTGAGATTTCTTCATGTACTTTTGAGTTACTGTGTATTGTCCTGCCATCTTAGCCTGAAAACGCTCTTTGGCAATTCTTGTAGGGAAGGCTTATTAGAGATGAACTCCCTCAGCTTTTTAAAAATCTAAATGTCTTAATTTCTTCTTTGACATATTTATTGAAATGTAATTCATATACCATTCAGTTCATTCATTTAAAATGTACAATTCATTACTTTTTAGTAGATGTGCACCTATTACCCTACTCAGTTTTATAACATTTTCATCACCTAAACAAGTCCATATGCTTTAGCCATAGGCCCAAAACCCTTTACCCCATTTGCCCAGCCCTAGGCAACCACTAATTTATTTTTTGTCTCTATTGATTTAGCAGTTTTGAACATTTCATATGAATGGAATCATGTATCATCTTTTATGATTGACTTATTTCAGTTAGCTTAACACTTAGGGCCTCTCTGGTGGCCTGGGGGTTAAGGCTCAGTGCTATCACATTGATGGCCTGAGTTCAATCCCTGGCCAGGGAGCTGATCCACATATGGCGCAGCAGACCTCTCCTGTCTCATCCGCTGCTCCCCTCAGCAGAAGGTTTTAGTGAATCCGCCTTGAGTGCGCCCCGTTCTGTCTCTGATAAATCCTCTCACACCCCACACCTCTGGCCTATACCCCAGTTCTTTTTTTTTTTTAAGATGTATTTATTGATGCATATAAGAACTGGGGTACAGACCAGAGGCGTGTGTGTGTGGGGGGGGGGTGAGAGGATTAACCAGAGACAGAGTGGGGAACAAAAAGGGCAGACTGACTGAAATACACTGCTGAGGAGATGTCTGCTGTGCCATGTGGGTAGCTCCCTGGCTGGCCGGGGATCAAACTCATGCTGCAGTGGGTGCGGATAGCTTCACGGTGCTGTGCTAAACCCCTTGTGCCACCAGGGAGGCCCCACCCCAGTTCTTGTAAGCAATAAATCTTCAAAAAAAAAAAAGCTCAAAGGTTCATCCCTGTTTTAGTGAATATTAATATAATATAATATTCCATAGTACAAATATAACACATTTTGTTTATCTGTTTATCCATTGATGGACATTTGGATTGTTTCCACCATTAAACTATTAAGAATGGTTTTGGAAAATGTTCATGTACAAGTTTCTGTGTAGACATGTTTCATTTCTCTAGGTGTATATTCAACACGTTATTGTTGTTCTAATTGTTTGAGAAACCCCTGAACTCTTCCAAAGTGGCGGCCCCATTTTACACTCATATCAGCAGTGAATGAGGCCTCTAATTCATCCACACTTGTCATTATCTGACTTCATCCAATTCTCACCATCCCTGTAGGTGTGAAGGGTATCTCATTTGGGTGTGCTTTCGCATAGGTTACTCCCCTGATGTTGCTCCTTAGGTGCATTTTTTTTTTAATTGAGGTAACATTGGTTTACAACACTGTGTGATTCAGAGGTACGGCATCATAACTCATCAGATACAGGTTACTACACAGAAAGATGCAATTTGAATACACCCACAAATCACCCCCGGATGTCACTGGCTTTGTTAGTCCTCTCTGCTCGCACATAGCTGTCAAACTCCCATTTTACTGTGAACTGATTGTTTTCCATAACGCTGTGGGGCATAAACTACTCTAAAACTGAACCCCATCAACTTAAGGGTCCTTTCAAGGAATCATTTCTGAGGTCAGTATTTGATATTTGTTCTGACCCCTGAAGGATTCTTCCCAGTTTCCTTAATCCTTAGTTCTCTCCTGCACATTAGCTGACCTAGAGGTTAGTGTTTTGAATCTTTTCCCATTTCTCTCTTACTACAACCTCACCATTTTTCAGGACTTTTCTAGGCTTTACTTTCTCCATGATTTTGCAAATGAATTTCCTTTGGGAAGCGATTAGGAGCTATCTTTGTTAAAGTCTGTTTCTTCCCTTAAGCAAAAACTCAGCCTGGTCTCTGAAGGTGAGGGTAGGGAGAATGGCAAGTTTCTCTCTGACAGCTGTCTTTGATTAGCAGAGTGCTTGGTGGAGGGAAAGGTGCTGCCAAAGTTCCTCTCTGTTAACCTCTTTCTCCTCACAACATAGGGCAAGCATGATCAGGGCCCAGTTAAAGTCTGTGGTTACCAGTGGGGGTTAAACCAGTGGAGGCTATTTGGCAGAAAGGAACCCCTATCTTTCTACCATACTTCCCCCGGATTCTGCCTTGGCAACAGGCAAGTAGGGTCACTGCATGAGAAACTCTGATGCCCTGTTCCTCCTGGTGTTACTGAACTTGGGCCCACTACCCCATGGCACAGAAGCCAAAAAACATGCCATCAGTTTTTGAGAAAAGAACTGGTTTAATTTGAGGTCCTCTGGCAGGAGACTGGAGGCAAGGCTCTCAAATCAGGATGGAGCTTTGGGCAGTGCTTATGGGGTTGAAGAACCATTGTTGATAGTCTGTTCCTTTCTGCTAAATCATGGTGTAACTAGAATTAGGATCTAGAGTATGCCTCACTTCTGAATGTTGTCTGTCTAACCATGAGTCAGGGATCTTAGTTCTGTGTTCCATGGCTATTTTCCGTCCAAGCAATGAGAAGTCACCTCGACAGTGAACACTCTTCTGGGCCTGCATTCTGAAACACAGCTTGCCGAGCTTTTATTTATTTATTTATTTGCCTTGTTTAAAATGGGCAGGAGTATTTTTGTCCCTTTATTGTAAACCTGCCCTGCTCCTCTTGTAAGATAAGCAGAAATACAAATCGACCATCATGACCACCATAGTTTCACTGGAAAGGAAATCTTGTGAATGGGGCTGCAGGGGAGAGGAACCTTGTGTTCCTGGCTGCAAGTCTTGAGTGGAGTCTTCCTCATCTGAATTGGTATTTGGTTATAACCTAGTTTTTATCCTTTAAGAGTTTGAAAAAGCTGTATTATTACATATGGGTACATGAAATTAGTAGTTCTTGCATACTTTCTCAGTAGGTAAGAAGTTGACATTTCTGAACAACAATGTAAGAAAATTAAAAAAAGTTTAATCAATCAAAACAAAGTTTACTGGGCCTCCCCGGTGGTGCAGTGGTTGAGCGCTGGGTTGCGAAGCTGCCCGCAGCCTCTGCAGCACCGGTTCGATCCTCGGCTGCTCCCCGGCCACCAGAGGAGGGTCCCACATGGCGCGCAGACCTCTCCTCCTGCCCGCTGCTCCCTTCAGCAGTGTACTTTATCTGTCTGCCTATTCTGTTCCCCGCTCTGGCTCTAGTGAATTCTCTCACCCGCCCGCGCTTCTGACTGTACCCAGTGCTTGTATAAATAAATAAATAAATCTTTTTTTAAAAATGTAAAAAAAAAAAAAAGAACTTTAAAAAAAGGTTTACATTTCTATTGTTAGATCCACAGTGTAATGTTTTTGTTAAGTTATACCTGTAGTATATAGACCCCAGAATAATTTTGGAGTTAAGTAATAAAAGTAGAAGGAGTAGCAGATGTAGGTTATGAAGACATTTTCTCATGTAAAAGATGTGCTTCACGTTATGATTAATATGTAGAGGGAATATAAGGTGGTTACTCTGTTAATTTCTTTTTAGAATAATAGTGATTGTTAGACCATGAGAATATTACTACTGATTATCTCCAATTGGATTGACTGTTCGATGTAAGCCTAGACTATTAGATTAGTGAGACTTTCTACTAATCATCATGCTGTCCTTAGTCAAGCAGTGTGTGTAATCCATAGGCTAGGTTATAGTTTGTAAATTTGTAGTTTGAATTTGCCAAGCAAAATAATAATGATGATGATGATGAAAGACAATGAACAATTATTCTATATAGCTTCCTGGTGTTTGGGTAAGAATAGCTATAATTACTAGTGCTGTGTGACTGATAGAGGACTATGCAATGAGTGATTTTATGTCTGACATAAACAAATGGAGCCTGTTAATATTAGGAAAAGATACACTGTGTAATGTTAAGGGATTTGGTATTGTTGAAATGAGCAATATACCAGAGTCACCTAATTTCAGTAATAAGACCACAGGCATTATGGATCCAGCAATGGAGGCTTCTAGATGTGATTTGGGTGGTAAAAAGGGTTGGCGATAGACAGGTATCTTTGCTATGAATGCTGTTATGCAGGCTAGTTTTAGGGAATATTAGATCAAATGATAGTGTTTGAGTTCAACATTGAGCTATTAGTTTAATGAACTTAGAAAATTTTGAATAAAGATTTGTGCTACAAGAAGTGAAGTAAGGGGCCTCCCCTCGTGGCACAGCGGTTGAGCGCTGGGCTGCGAGGCTGCCCGCAGCCGCTGCAGTGCCAGTTCATTCCCCTGGCCACCGGCGAGGGTCCCACAAAAAAAAAAAAAAAAAAAAAAAACCGGGGCCTCCCCGGTGGCACAGTGGTTGAGCGCTGGGTTGCAAAGCTGCCTGCAGCCTCTGCAGTGCCGGTTCGATCCCCGGCTGCTCCCCAGCCACCGGAGGAGGATCCCACATGGCGCGCAGACTTCTCCTGCCGCCCGCTGCTCCCCTCAGCAGTGTACCTCGGTCCTTCTGCCTGCTCTGCTCCCCGCTCTGGCTCTGGTGAATTCTCTCACCCTCCCGCGCTTCTGACTGTACCCAGTGCATGTATAAACAAAACAAACAAACAAATAAAATAAATAAATAAAACATGTCTCAAAAAAAAAAAAAAAAAAAAACCAACAAAAAAAAAAAAAGAGGTGAAGTAAGCCTGCTAGTGTATAAGTAAGACCCTGCATTTAATAATTTTGTTTGATTTTTTTTCTAACAATAATTGAGGTTGGGACTAATGTAGCTTTGAATAAAATATAGAATAAGATCAGTTCTGTTGCATTAAAAGTTATGAGTAAGAATGTAATAGAATTAGTATTGTAATATAAAGATTTTGGGGTGGGTGATTCTTTGAACAAATGTAATTGACTTCCTGTGAGTATTAGTGGAAGAAGTCATGCTGCTAATGTATGTGGCGGTTCTAATAGGAGGTCAGAAAAGATTAATGGAAAAGTTCAAAGTTAGGGCTGTTATTAAGTTGATTTAGGTCAAGCTGGTAAAGCTAATAATAAACTAAATTATAGTATTAATTTAGATTATATTATTTTTGATAATCCTATTAGTGATATTAATATAATGGTTGGAATAATGATCTTTTGGATTGAAGAAGATGGAGATTTTGATACCATAGGTATCAGGCACCATAATAATTAGATACCATACCATTTTGATACCATAGGTATCAGGCACTATAATAATGATGTTCCTACTGTGTGACTTCACAGACTGTGAATACTAATAAAATAATATGTAGTAGACCTCCATGGTGGTGCAAGGGTTAAGTCTCAGCACTATCAAGCTATTACCAGCCACTGCTGCATGAGTTCTATCCCCAGCCTGGGAGCTAGCCCACATGGCGCAGCAGACCTCTCCTGTCTCGCCTGCCTCTACCCTCAGCAGTGTATTTCAGTAGATCTGCCTATTCTGCTCCCCCCTCTGTCTCTGGTGAATCCTCTCACCCTCCCCCCGCACCTCTGGCCTGTACCCCAGTTCTTGTACGCATAAATAAATAAAAAAATAAATCTTAAAAAATATGTATTATACTGGCTAATGTAAAATGAGTATTTAGAATTATAATAGTTCCCATCATGAATAGCAATGTTAGGTCTTCTAAGCATAGTAATGAAGATATTAAATGGAATTGATATGTTACTGTTCATGAGAAGAGTTATTGTAAATACTAGAATAGTGTTAATTATAAACTAAGGACATTTGATAATGATGAAATTTATTATATTTTAATCAGCAGAAATAATTTGTTTTATTTTTTTAAAAAGATTTATTTATTTATACATACAAGAACTGGGGTGTAAGCCAGAGGTGCGGGAGGTGAGAGGGTTCACCAGAGAGAGTGGGGAGCAGAACAGGCAGACTGACTGAAATACACTGCTGAGGGGAGCAGCGGGCAAGACAGGAGAGGTCTGCTGCACCATGTGGGTAGCTCCCTGGCTGGCCTAGGATCGAACTCATGCTGCAGTGGCTGGCGATAGCTTGATAGTGCTATCTTTAATCCCAGCGCCACCAGGGAGGCCCTAGAAATAATTTGTTTCAGTTAAACTAATTATATTTAGTTAATTCTAGTTCTTTTGGAATTTATTCATAAGCTAAGTTTATAGCTGGTGATGAGATTTTAATCTTATGGCAATTACAATTTTTAGGTTCCTTGTTAGAGATTCTCAAGATAAGGGTGGGAGAAAGGTGATTTCTAGATCAAATACTAGAAATGCAATAGCTCATAGGAAGAATTTTATGGAGAAAGGTAGGGTGTGGTGTGCTGATGTTTTTGCATGATATTATGGGCTTGATTTTTCTGTGTATTTGTCATAGTCAGAATGCAAAGAATGCAAATAGTGAAGCTAGTAGTGTATTAGTGAATAGTGTTAAGAGATTTATTATTTCTGGATTCTACTGAAATTGATTGGAAGTCAGTTGTACTATTTAGTACTAAAAGAATATGATTCTCATTAATAGATTGGTACATAAAAATAGTCAAACTAATCTAGGAAATGTCAGTGTAAACTTCTGCTTCAAATCCAAAGTAATGATTAGCTGTGAAATGAATTTTAATTGACATA